GCAATGCTACTCCACAGAAGGCATGAGGCACTCAGGAGGGATGTTGGCGGCAGCTGCTCCACCTGCCAATCCTTTTTCTCACTCAATGTTCCCCTTATGGGGATAAAGCCAGATAATGGCTTTTCCTGTCTTTCTCAGAAACATCCAAGTTGATGAGTTTTTTTTTTTTTTTTCTTGAGGTAGGATCTCATCTCAAATTAGATTTAAGTGATCCTCCTGCATCAGCCTCCTAAACAGCTGGGACCACAGTTGTGTATCACCATGGCTGGCCAAGCAGATAAATCTTAATGTGGGATTTCAATTTCTACTTTTCTGCTAAGAGGAAAATTGGTAGGGAAGATCTGCCAAGCCATATGTTCAAAATGTTAAGGCTCAGACAACTGATTTCCTGTCAACTAACCTTTTCATAAACTATTCCCACAAATTTCAGCCTCTCAGAACATTCACAACACAGTTTGGTACGGGTTCACTCTTCCTCACAAGATATCTGTATGACCACAATTTTCCCAAGTATAATACTTTGAACATTTACTTTTTTATCTTTATTGGCTTATGAGCTTCATTAGGGCACAGACTTTGTTATTTGACTTCTATTTCTAGAGCCTGGCACAGTGCCTGGCAAACATAGTAATTCATCAAATGTCTGGTGAGTGACTGCTTACATGCAAATGCCAGACAAGGAGGAAAAACATCTGGGCTCAGTGAGCAAGAAGGTTGGTAAATATTTGGTGCTTTTTCTACATTAACTACACGATATCTCCACAATCTCCCACAAACATTAGTTTTTATAACATTTATCATAGTGAGCATACTATTATGATTTTTCTAGTTCCTTGAAAGCAGGAACTGGGTATTTTCAATTATTTTGCCTATTCCCTCACCCAATCAATAAATGACTGAATATCTAAATGAATGAATGATGCACAACTGATTCACAACAATGAATGCTTTTGACCAAACCATATTACAATCTCAGGTCCATTAAAATCTTCTCACAAGCACCAGTCTTCCTTCTTTTTTCATTTTTTTTCCTTTCTCCCAGTACTGGGGATTAAACTCAGGGCCTCATACATGATAGGCAAGTGCTCTACCACTAAGCTACACCTCAAGCCCCTTTATTTTTTTATTTTATTTTGAGACAGCATCCTGGTAAGTTTTCCAACCTGGTTTCAAACTTGCAATCCTCCTAACTCAGCCTCCTGAGTAGCTGAGATTATAGGTGTGTGCCATTGCATCCAACCAAAGTCTGTTATAGAAAGTTCAGTCCTTAGATTGGGTGTGGTGGAAATCTAGAAAAAGCACCAACTATAATCCTAGCTACTCAGTAGACTGAGTCAGGAGTATCGCAAGTTTGAGGCCAACCTCAGCAATTTAGTGAAACCCTGTCTCAAAATGAAAAATAAAAAGCTTCAATTCCTAATATCAAAAGAAGAAGAAGGAGGAAGAGGAGGAGGAGAGGAAGGAAGGAAGGAAGGAAGGAAGGGAGGGAGGGAGGGAGGGAGGGGAAAGGAAAGGAAAGGAAAGGAAAGGAAAGGAAGGAAGGAAGGAAGGAAGGAAGGAAGGAAGGAAGGAATGAAGGAAGGAAGGAAGGAAGGAAAAGAAAAGAACAAGACAAAAAAGGTGGGGACAAGTTCAGTCCTTAGAAAAACACTGGGCATAAATTCGTGTTGGCATATAAACCAATGTTCATATATCACCACCAATATCAAGTGCCATAGAAAACAAATAACATTAGGCAGATGCAAAACTGGGAAAGTGTGAACTACAGAAACAAAATAAAACTGTGCCCAGCTCTCCAAAACGGAGCTGGGCACAGTGGTGCACACTTGTAATCCCAGAGACTGAGGCAGAAAGATTGAAAGTTTGAGGCCAGTCTCAGCAACTTAGTGAAGCTCTAAGCAACTTAGTGAGACCCTGTCTTAAAATATAAAATATAAAAGGCTAGGGATGTGGCTCAGCAGTTAAGCTTCTCTGGGTTCAACCCCTAGTACTCTCTCCAAAAAAAGTAGAAAGTCCAAAACAGAGGAGATAGGGTGGTTTGCAGAATGCAGAAATACCTAAAACTTGTGACTAATTTGGTGAAAATTAACCATGTCGATAAAAGAGATTGCACTGACATCAATGACATGGATCAATTCTGAGTTGCCTGGCATATAGAGGCCAGGGATCTATGCAGGAAATGTGAGAGAAGAAAATTCTATCATGCATAGTTATACATAATGGCATGTGGTTTGAGAGCAGAGATCAACAGTGGGTAGAGGAAAGCTTTGATTCGGAGAGCAGGGTTTCTCTCTGCTGCAGGGTTTCCTTATAATTACCAATTAGGGTCATAGCTCTGTTTCCTGTGGCAGTTTTTTTCTACCACAGAGAATGAGGTCAGAGCCCTAACCACATAGATCTATAATGCATCTAGGTGATGAAGAATAGCTTCAAATATACTTGGATCATTCCCAGGAGATAGCTGGATACATGTGTGGTATTCTTAGCCTCAGTAGAAAGAGTTTCTCAAAGGAATTAAAGTGTATTCTGACATTAGTTTTTAAATCTCCATTTACATCCTTACATGATGCTAACATTTATATGACTCTTAACAAAAGAGACTGAATATTACTGGATTTAGCAACCTACAGGATGGAGTAGGTCAAACAGGGCCCCACAGACTCTTAAGTTACCAATCACACCATTATTCAGTAGCACTAAGTGTGATACTATACGTGTACATTTAACAAAATTTATTATATACATGAAAGAATTTCTTAGAGAATATTCACCATTCAAGATTAACAAATCATTATTATTTAGATGATGTCAATTTTTTCAGAGAAATTAAAAGCATGCATTCAATTTCACAGTTCAAATTTACTAACTGAAAGGAAAGAGATGTTGGGGCTGAGGTTGTGGCTCAGTGGTAGAGTGCTCACCAAGTATGCATGAGGCACTGGTGCTCAGCACCACATAAAAATTAAATAAAGATATTGTGTCCCCCTAAAACTAAAAACTAAATATTTTTAAAAAGAAGGGAATAGATGTATATTAGTCTAAAGAGGGGGTGGAGAAAAGTTTACAGGATGAGTAGAAAAATCAAATATCAGAGAGGGAAAAGAGACATTATTGCATTATTCTCAAGATGAATTAATTATAAAGTTAACTGGAGGTTTTATGAAGACTCCATTACCACCACAGAAAGAACTGCTCCCCTTTTCCCTTGTTTTGCAAAAATTGGAGATCAGGAAAAGTAAGAAAAGATAGTAAATTTTCTTGGTTTACATGGTTCTTCAGCTAAAAGGTTTAGAAATGAAAATGAGCAGAAAGCAGACTAGGACTGGCTTTGGGTTGTTCCTCCTCTTAGTGGGTCCAAATACCTGGGAGCTGCATTAAAATAAAAACAGGAAACAGGGAGAGGCATGAGAGGACCAATGGAGCTTCTGCCATGATTGGTGAATGAGTCAGACCTATGCAACTAAGGACCAGGGGAGGCCCAAAGACAGAAAAAGAGAAAAAAGGAACCAGGAATACCAGAAGCACTCAAAGAGTTAGGCTTCTTGGCTTTTGTGTTTAAACTCCCAGTCTGTAGCTCTTTGTTAACAATCCCCTTACATGTGTTCAGACAGAAATGATGCAAGGATGAGGAGCCCTACAGTGCAGGCCAGATGCAAGTTCTGCCCGTTAGTGAAGGCTGCAATACACCTCAGCCAAAGGAAAATTCCAGCTTAGTTGGTTAGGCTGGGACAGCATTTCCTCTGTGTCAGGAACAAGGCTGGGACAGAGGGGCCAGGACTGGGGAAGGTTTTGAGGCAGGTCAGGCTGCAGGGCTTCTTAATTAGAAACAGGAATCAAGGAAAGAGCCTGTGGTGCAGCTGCAGAAAGAAAATCTTATACACAAATTCATGAGACTAGTTACTTCTGGGGAAAAGGCTGGGATGGAGAGCGGGGTGGCCAAAGGCACTTTAGCCTTGTCCTTAATGTTCACATTTAAGAAAAGAATAGGAATAAGCAGGTAGAGCAGTGTGGTACAGCACACACTTAGCCTGTGTGAGGCCTTAGGTTTAATATGCAGCACCAACCAAGAGAATGCATTCATATGTTATATGACTGAAAACTGATTTTAAAAAAAAACTTGAATTTAAGAAAGAAAAGAAGAAAGTGAGAAAGGGAAAGAAAAGGAGAAGGAGAAAGGAAGGCACAATTAACAGATTAAGGTCTTCATGGATGCTGGGCTAAGAACAAACAACCCAAGAAGGTGGGGTTCCAAAACAAGGGAAAATGGCAAGGGATAAAGGTCTCAAATCAGAATCGCCTGGGTCACAGGAGAATCGGATGGAAGAGACAACAGAATCGTGAGATAAAACATGTGAAGGGACAATGACCCTTGATTAGCCCTAGCCCATCCTGACAGAGTGAGGCCCCCATAATGGCTCTCACAGAAGAATGCCAGTTCCCTGAACTGGGCCCAGCTCCTCATTCAACCATGTCCTCAGTTATGGAAAAACCTACTGCCCTGGATTCAAGAGATTCAAATGTGGAGAAGGCCTTCCTGTGAACCATATGCAGTCTCCTGCCCTCTCTCAAACTTTCTACCAATGCTATGCCACCCCACCCATCTCTTGACTCAACTGGTTAGCTCCTGAAATAGACATGGGCACCTCTGCCATATATTCATGGTTTATCCGAGGATTTCCCTCCGGAGAATCCGGGGGAGGGTGGAGATCACCTTTTCTGGAAGAAGATGACTTCAGAATCTGTGGTCCTGTCCTATGGGCTCAGGTAAGTGATCAGGGAAGGTCACCGCCTAGCTTAGCCGGAGACCGCAGCCCTTTTGATTTCTACGGGTTCATCCATCCACACCGCACCCACCACCTTTGCGCCCCTAAGGTTCTGTGGACGATTTGATGTGGGGGTCTCTGAGAAGATGGGGACCAAGGAGTACCCCTTTGGAGATTAGGCGGGAGGCGAGGGGTGGGGGGAGGGGAGCTGGGGAGTGGGAGGAGCAGGACAGTTACCTCATTGAAGCCCTCCTGCAGGACGTCCAGTAAGTTCCCACGGGTCAGGCAGGCTAGCATTGTTCCTGCCGGGGGCTCCCCGGGCGGGGTCTCCAGCCGGGCGGCTGTCGCCGCCGCCGCCGCCGCCGCCGCCTCCTCCCTCTGCACACAAAGGCTCTCAGCTCAGCTCATTGGGATCTCTCTGGAGTCCCGCATGCCACTTACTGGAAACCTAGACCCGGAGCCAAACTAGAGGTTTGCACTGGGCATGCTCACGCGGGGGCCTCTGCCAGAGGGGCGCCGGCGCCGCCGTGGTTCCTATAGAAACAGCTGGGCGCGCACTGGATGAAGGGGCTGCAGGCAGACCGCCCCAGGCCCGGCGTTCGGCGTTCGGGGAGCCCGCGGGCGCGCAGGCGGGCGGGCTAACGTGTGCGTGCACGCGTCTCTCTTTCTCTCTCTTTCTCTCTCTCTCTCTCTCTCTCTCTCTCACTCACTCACACACACACACACACACACACTCTCACTCCGGGCGGTGGGATGGACGTTTGTGGGTGCGCTGCAAACCCCGACACACACCAGTTTTGCAGACAGGAGTGCTGGTATCCGCGCGCGCTTTGCGTGCATTCAGACATACACATACACCCGCCGACACACAGGCGGGCGTGCCAGTGTCCGCATATGCTTGCAATCACACAAACGCGCACACACCAAGCTTGCAGTTGGTGTGCTGGCGAGAGCGTGCATTGTATACACACACACACACACTGCTGGTTTAAGGCCGCAAGCACCCCACCACGTTCACAAGGTGGGTGGAAAAGGGAATGAATCAGAGCAAACAGCAACCTTTTTTCCATGTGACAGTACAGTGAGGCTAGGCAGAAAGGAGAGGAAGAAAAAAATAAAGAGGGGTTAAAGAACTTTGGGTAGTGACGCTAATTGTAACATATTTAACAGGACAGTGCTAAACAAATCACAGGATCACAGCAAAAGCATCAATAAACAAGCATGACCAAGGCTTAACCAAAATGTGTTTCTTCTTTCTTTTAAAGATAAACTGCTAAAATTTAAAACCCAGCCTGGGCTTAGTGGCGCATTCCAGTAATCCCAAAGACCGAGGAGGCTGAGGGAGGAGGATACAAGTTCCAGGACAACCTCAGGAATTTAGTGAGGTCCTAAGCAATTTAACAGGAACTTGTTTCAAAATTTAAAATAAAAAGGGGCTGGGACTGTAGCTCACAGGTAAAAGGCCCCTGGGTTTGATACCCAGATATCCTAAAGAAAGAAAGAAAACCCATACTTATTATTGAGGTGTTTTAATTAAAATTAAAAAATCACAAAAATGCCCTGGTGCATTTGAAAGAGCTAACACCTTCCACAAGGGAAACAAAACTATTCCCCTCTGTTTCTAGGTTGTTATTCAGGTCACAACCTTGATTATTTATTTTGAAGAACATTAGTCATTTGCATGTTCAGTGCAAACTTATTTTTATAGAAAAACAGGAAGCTGACTGAGTGCCCATCTTACATTCCACCTTACCATCCCAGATAGAGGGGAAAGGTTTACACAGCTTGTGAAGACTTAAAGAGAGGTCTGGGGCTGTAGGTCAGTGGTAGGGCACCAGCCTCACATGTGTGAAGCACTGGGTTCGTTCCTCAGCACCACATTAAAAAAATAAATAAAGATATTGTGTCCACATACAGCTAAAAAATATATATTAAAAAAAAATAAGAGAAATTCAGGGCCAGGCCCTGGGACACAGCTGGTCAGTGACTGGCAGCTCAAAAAGCTAGGACTCAGCTGGGTGTGGTGGTACACGCCTGTAACCCCAGCTATGTGGGATGGGGAGTTGAGGGGACAGGCAGGAGGATCACAAGTTTGAGGCCAACCTGGGAAACACTGTCCTAGAATTTTAAAAGGAAAAAAAAAAAAAGGCCAGGGATGTAGCCTAGTGGTTAAGTACTTGTCTAGAATGTGAGAGGCCCTGAGTTCAATCTCCAATACTGCCAAGAAAAAAAAAAAAAACTCTACACATGATTTTCCAGAATGCCAGATTCCCTCCTCAAACTCTCATAGTATCTTAGCAAGAACACTCAGTAATGAGTCTTATTCAACCTAATGACTTCCTCTTCAGGTCACTAAGAAAAAAAAAAAAAATACTGGAGCAGCCAGATTAGCAATATCTTGTCTGAATGTCTGTTAAACATAAAAATGCTTCTGGAAAAATACACAGAAGCAGGAAGCATAGAGCCAGCACAGGTGTTGAGCAGCTGCTGTAGGTTAAATGATGTAGACTCAATTCTGTATAAGACTAGGAAAAGCTGATACCAAATCAAACTGAGCATGAGCTACCATTTATAGTCAGCTAGAGAGTTTTAACTGGCTAGAATTCCCTGCACCATTATGCCAATTTGTGGGGTAATACCATACCTATGTTAATGCAATGAAGACCTTTATAAAGATAAGTATGAAATTTCCAATTCCACAGAATTGCATGCAACACATTAATATGCATAAAGATGTGAAACCAAAGCAACTAGTTGGTGGTTTCATAGGTAGAGAATTCTGATTGGTTAAGAGCCCATCATGCTTTGGACAGAAAATACTCAAGACACTGAGGCTTACTGACAATTATCTATGCCAAGAAATCTCTGTTTTTCAAACTTAAGTTTTGTCAAAGTAAGACCTATTAGCTCAAAGCTTTGGGAGAAGGACTTATTAAGTAACTGAATTTTGGCTCAACTCCCTTATTTCACATAAAAAGGAATCAAAGTTAAGAGAGGTGCTCACAGTCACTCAGCAAGCCAATATGGGAGCTAAGATCTGAATCAAAGGCCTTGGAGCCTGACCCTGTGCATGGCCTTTCACATCATGCTGGAGAAATTAAGAAAGCATTGTAGTGACTTGATAAAAGATTTATTATAGAATATGGTTCAAGGTTGCACTATTCCCTGAAAGTCTGTAACTTTATCATTCACACATTCTAGAACTTTCCATGAAAATGGAAATGTTCTATATCCACACTGTCTAATACAGTAGCTACTGGGCACATGTAGCTACTGAACACTTGAAATGGGTCTAAGGGCAACTGTAGAACAAAAATTTTTAATGGTATTTAATTTTAATTCATTTAAGTATAGATAGTCTGATTTCAAAATATTGTTTCATTGTCTCTACACAACTATTGAAATGTTCCAGAAACACATTAATTCACATATAGTCAGCCTTTCACACTTGGAAGAAGCACAAAATCCCGTTGGACCGTATGATGTCTTTTTTTTTTTCTTTTGGAAGATATGTTCACTATACTTATCATGATCTGTCTTAGAAAGTGAACCAAGAACTAAGCATTAGCTCTAAGCAACACTAAGATTTATTATTCCATTATCCCTACGCTCCTGTTGTGATAACAACACAAGAGTTGGGAAAATAAGAGGCAATGATCAACATCATGTAGTCCCTGTATGTGGGAAAACTGCAAGCAGTCTGGTTAGCTGGAACCACTCCCACTGCTGCAGGCCTGTCATTCACTCTGCCTGGGAGAAGCCAAGAATTGCCCCAAACTGCTTTCTGCATATCTCTGCTTTGCTACTTGATTTCTGAACTTATATCTGGTCTCTTCAGTCCTGCATTATTTTGGCAATAATGACAAACACTTCCCCCACAAACTAAAAACTACCCAAATATCTAATTGAATAGTAACACAACAAGTTGAAATTTCACTATGTGCCAAGTCCTATACTAAGCACAAATATGTATATTTTTTTGGGAGGTCACTATTTCCATAATGTGTGTGTGTGTGTGTGTGTGTGTGTGTGTGTGTGTGTGTCTTTCTCTCTCTCTCTCTAAAATATGAAGGACAAGAAGTTTGGAAGCTAAGTAATTTACTCCAGGTGCAATAGCTACTAAATGGTGAAGCCAAATTCCAGGCTTTTAACCATTATATAGTACTTTTATAGGATGCTTGCTACATAAAAAGTACTCAATAAATGAATGAATGAGTAATGAATGAACCAATGTACAGATACCAAACACATTCATTATCCCTTCTATTAATAAATACAATAACATGTTTCCCTAAGTACGACTTTAAGCCTTAAACAAAGCTGTCATTTGGTGAAAATATTGTCTGTGACTTCTTTCTGAGTAAAAAATGTGTGAAATTCACACCAATGAGAAATTTAACACATCTATAATGGGCAATCATTCATGACCATAAAGAAGCAGAAAGGCAGTTTCAATAAACAAATAATTAAAATTATCAATGAAAATATATTAAATGACCTTCTGAAACAATTTCTTCATCATTCTTCTGTTTTCTCATATTAGCTGAATTCCTTGAGAGTAATGTGTTTACAACTTCTATTACATTTACATTCAGAGGTATCAGCAAAGACCTACAAAAAGACTCATACCTACCAGCAAAGATTTAGTCCTGACTCCTAAACTGTGTATTTATTTGTTTGTTTATTTATGTACGTCTTGCAGTGCTGGGAATCAAACCTAGGGCCTCTCACATGCTAGGCAAGCACTCTACCACTGAGCTATACCCCCACCCTAAACTGTTCCCTTTGTCTCCAGACTTTTCCATCTGCCAGTCCACATTCATCTAAATCTTTTTTAGACAATACATTCTCTTTGCTGCTCTATATCTTCAAACACTCATTTTTCCTAGTATATCAATAAATTCTTTGTGTTCAACTCTTAGGGCCTCCCCCAGAACATTCTGTTCAGGTTTTAGAGCTCCTCACTATCTCACAGTTTTCACCTCCATTCCTCTGCCAGGAATGCCTCACACTCCTTCAGTTACCCAAATCATCGCTATGCCTACCTAGTTCGAGTTTCATTTTTTCCATGAATCTCCTCTGACCACTGGGTTTATTTGCAGTGCTGGGGATCAGACTCAGAGTTTCATACATGATAGGTGAGCACTCACTACTACTGAGTCACTCTTGATTTTGATCTCTGGTCACTCTTTTTTTTTGGGGGGGGCATACCAGGGATTGAACTCAGGGGCACTCAACCACTGAGCCACATCACCAGCCCTATTTTGGATTTTATTTAGAGACAGAGTCTCACTGAGTTGCTTACTGCCTCGCTTTTGCTGAGGCTGGCTTTGAAGTTGCCATCCTTCTGCCTCAGCCTCCTGAGCCACTGGGATTACAGACGTGCGATTGTAGTGTGCATTGCTGTGCTTGGCTTCTGGGCACTCTTTGATTTTGATCTGTCTCAAACACTAGTTTCCCAGATGATCTCTGGCTCACTTCTGCTCCTCCTTCAGGCCTCAAATGTAACTTTATTCATTCAGCTTTTTCTTACCTCTTTCTTTCTTTCCTTTTTTTTTTTTTGTTTAATTTTCATTACAGTTTTCATAGTGTAGACAGTTCCACTATAAAGATATGCCTAAAACCCAAAGGATTTTCTGTAAAAAGTCTTACCACTATATTGAAATTGTTTTTCATTTCATCCATTATCAGCCTTCCCCTGCAAACTAATGAGGGCAAGGAATTTTATAAGTTTATTATTGGTTTATCCCCAGAACCAAGAATTTTGTCTGGCACATAGAATATGTACTGAATGAATGAATCTTCCTCTTTTTTAATATCTAGCATGTTCAATACTGTATCATTTAGCATTTAATTACAGTTAATTTAGGACTATAGATCTTTGTCTCCCTCTCTCTTTGGGCTTTTTGTTTATTTTATTGTTGTTATTTGTATTTGTTGTTGTTGTTTTGCTTTACTGGCAATAGAACCCAGGGCCTCATGTACACCAAGCAAGTACTCTACTAATGAGCTACACCACCAGTCCTTTTTGTCTCTTTAACTGTATTCTCAAGTCAAATATAATTTTTGATGTCCTGATATATTTTCGTCTTCTTTGTTCATGCTTTATTTCATTAAACATTCATTAAATACAGGTTGAACACCTATGTCATATGCCAGAGTTCCTATTCTTTTAGCAAAAAGTTGAAGAACTGACAAGTACACATACATATGCACATAACACATAAAGGGGAGAAATAAGACCAGAAGAAAGTATAGTAAAAGGAGGACAAGTAAAACTAAGAACCCAACATTAGGACAGAGGAACAGAGTGCACAGGGTGAATGTGACAGACCAAGTGCGTAGAAGAAAGAAAGTGAGACAGAATAGTGAGAGACTAAGACACTGCCAAAGTAATCACCAGATGGTAAGGCTTAATATAAACTGCACCAAAGCAGATATGCAAATATATTCTACATGAATTTTTAAAATTCACATTTCAAGTTATCTGCTAGCTATCCTGTGGATAAAAATTGGATCAAGATAGCGACATCTGGTGGACATTTTAGAAGTGACCCTGGAGTTTCTCTACAATGAAAACACCATAAATACCCCCATGCTTCTACACTGACAATCATAATGTGTTAGGGCTCCACATTACAAGAGTAGCCAATGTTACTTTATATGTTTGATTTTTCTTTTTGTATGTGTAGGGGGAAATATTGGGCATTGAACACAGAGGCACTCTATCACTGAGCACATCCCCAACTCTATTTTGTGTTTTATTTGGAGACAGGGTCTCACTGAGTTGCTTAGCAATTGGCTTTGCTGAAGCCAGCTTTGAACTCTAGATCCTCCTGCCTCAGCTTCCAAAGCTGCACAATTACAGGCATGAGCTATCGCATCTGGCTATGTTTGATCTCTCTATCTCCCAATTGACTTCCAACTGCTCTGAAAGGATGCATACAAAATTACAAAATCTGACATCACAATTCTTCTTTTACAAGATAATTTCTTATTGTAAATGTTCACATCCTTTTAAGTTGTCTTAAAATTACTTATTTGTAATATGAGAGGCAAGGCTGGAGAATCTAAAAGTCCAATGACAAAGCACTGGTCAAGAAAAATCACAACCATTATAAAGTTTACCAAACATATGTAGCCCAATAAAACAAAAAATTTAACAATTTCCTATTAAGAAACATGGAGGGCTGGGGTTGTGGCTCAGTGGTAGGGTTTGTGCCTAGCATGTGTGGGGCACTGGGTTTGATTCTCAGCACCACATGTAAACAAATAAAGTAAAGATCCATTGACAATTTAAAAAAAAAAAACTTAAAAAGAAACATGGGAGTGATCTGGGCATGGTGGTGCACACCTGTAATCCCAATAGCCTGGGACAGCTGAAGCAGGAGGATTGCCAAGTTCAAAGCCAGCTTTATCAAATTAGCAAGGCCCTAAAGCTACTTATCCAGGCCCTGTCTCAAAAATAAAAAAAGAAGCACTGGGGCTGGGGCTCAGTGGTTAAGCACCTTTAGGTTCAATCCCTGGTACAAAAAAAAAAGAAAGAAAAAGAAAGAAAGAAAGAAAAGAAAAAGAAAGAAATATGGGGTGAAAAAAAAAAGCAAAGTCAAAAAGCTGGCACATAAGCTGGGTGTGGTAGCACATGCCTATGATCCCAGCTATTTGGGAGGCTGAGGCAGGAAGATCATAAGATAGAGGCCAGCTTCTACAATTTAGCAAGACCCTGTCTCAAAATAAAAATGGTTGAGGATGTAGCTTAATAGTAGAACTATTCTGGGTTCAACTCCAATACCAGAAGAAAAAAAAATTTAAACTTGTACATAATATGATCTCATGTAGAACATTTATAAAGAAAAAAAGATTAGACAAATATATTCCAAAATATGAACAATGTTTACTTCTGGATGGACAACTTGTGTCCTGGTGTTTTTTTTTTTTTTAGCTTCTTTTTGATATTTATCAAATACTTTGTAATTAATATATGTTATTTCTAAGTCAAACTTTATGTCTTTTAAACAATGCATATGTTCTTATTAACTGCTAGTTTTTCAACTTTTGTCTGACTTTATTAATTTCAGAAAAAGATGATGAATCAAGGCTTATGTGAGCTAGAATTTCCATAAGGAGAAACAAGAAAAGAAGGCAAACATAAAAATTCTGTTCCAGGATATGAGTTCTAGTGGAGAAATCCCCCCAGATATAGAGGTATCCTGAAATTCCAGTAATGTCATCACATTCCTCTCAATAGTGCACCACAGACTTACAAAGGGCTTTGCTGGCACCAAGGTGTTACCGAATCTCATAATCACTTGAGTTCCCATCTTCAGAGTCCCCAGAAGGCCAAATCAGAGCCACCTTAAAATAGGAAAAGAAAGAAATGGGCAAATATTCAGGAAGAGAAAGAAATTCCACAAGCTAAAACAACTAGTTGGATCAAGCCCTGTCCCCCAAACCTATCTTAAGCATCTTGAAATACCAAAATAATACCTTGGTTAGTAGGAAATCTAGCCTAAGGTCTTATAATCACAATAGAGCTATGCCAATGGCATTTTAAATTCCAGTTACTTAAGATTTCATAGTAATAAAGAACAATGTCTCCTATCCATTTCCCTCATTCATTCACTTATCAGCCAAGGGCCATAATGTATATTCTGAAGATAATTAGGAGAAATATTGGAAGCTGTGCTTCTTGGCATTTATTCTTTAATTCCCAGAATTCATCCTTAACTCCAAAACGTGTAATTCTAATGTAGAAATGTGTATACAGCACTTTAAGCTTACAGAGTGTACCTTGGAATTAGGGGTAGTTTTTTTTTTACCCCCAGGCTAACATATAGAAAATAGGGTAGGCATAAAGAAAAATGAAATAAATCATTTCATTTTCAAGTTCATGGAACTTGACATCATTATTTTAAGTGAAATAAGCCAAACTCGGAACCTCAAGGGTTGAATGTTTTCTCACACATGTGGAAGCTAGAGGGGGAAAAGGAAAACAAAGGTGGGGAGTGATAGAATAAAAAGCAAAGGGAGATCGTGAAAAAGGGACTATGGGGTTGTGAGGTAGTGTTGGGGAGGGATATTAGCCAAATTATATTGTTGTACTGGGTGCATGTACTGATATGTAACAACAAATACCACCATTATGTGTAACTAAAACGCACCAGTAAAAAAGAAAGAAAATAGGGTAGGGAGTTGCTCCAACAATTAGTGGCGGCAGCCCCCTGATCCACATTGTATAAATCTACTTGCACTACCTAGGTGTGCACCAAAGCACAAGGAGAACAAGCCAGTAAAATAATAATGGTGATGATGATAGTGGCAGCCAACATTCGAGTACGTATTATACACTGTTGCTAGTCCTTTAAATTCTCACAAGCACTCTCTGAGGTTGATACTATTCTTACCAACTTTTTTGTGCTGGGATTTCATTTTCACTACTCTTACCCACCTTCAGAGATTAATTCCTCTTAGGGACCAACAGAGGGTCAGCGACATTTGGGTAGGAAGGTGTGCAGGCTGAGAAGGGGAAGCGCGATACCCCTCGTCTCTAAACTCTTGAAGTCTAAAACAGAAACTGCACACTAAGAATCTCCAGGGCTCAGAGAGGAATCCGTCTCATTCTTCTCATCCCACCGTCTCCCCCTCGCTTGACCCGATCTGGACGTTCATTCGTGGTAATATTTTCCAGTTACCAGTCACTTTTAGCACCTACCTTTCAAAGTACCGGTATGTCTGGTTCAGCATCTTGGTCCCCAGCCATTCTGGACTCGGCCTGCGCTTTCTCTGGCGTCGCCGCTGCGTTACCGCTGCCATGGTAACACGGAGGCGTCCCCGCAGCTCCGCCCTCCTGCAGCCAGCACGAGCCAGCCCGGTCCGGCCCTGATTCCACGCCCCCGACTTCCGGACCCCGCCTCCAGCCGGCCCGAGCCCGCCCCTGCTAGATAGCTCTCCGGACGCCGGGGACCCGGACTCTACCACCTGCCAACCCAGACTCCGCCCCCACCGTCCCGTACACGCCTCCCAACCCATCAGACCACCACCCCCCCGCAGGACTTGATCAGGCTGTCCCCCTGGCTACGCCCCCTGCGAATCTGGACCCTTGTCCTGCCGGCCCCGCCCAGGGCCTTCCTTCAACCAATGAGAGTCCTCCCACTGTTCAGCCAAACCACGCCCGAGTCCCGCAGCTGCGCAGGCAGAGAATGGGGTCGCTCAGGTGCTAGTACTGGTTGAATTTTATTCTGGGCGGGGGCCCGCTTCAAAACCCCGCCCCAGAAAACGGACCAGGCCTGTTCCTCACACTGTTTATTGATTGAGCGGCTCCACGGAGCAATAGCTACCAGTTCAGCCAAGAAGAGTTTCCGGGTTTCTCCACGCTGTTTGGTGACTTGAAGTTCCCGTGGCCAGTGGTTGGAGAAAGCTTCTTCCGTGCCTCAGCGCACGCCCCCATTTATCTCCCTAGGTGTGGGACCCTTGATCCCGCCGCCACTGAGGGAAGTGCCCAAGCCAGCCCTGGAGGCTATATGCAAAAGCTCAGAATGGTTTTCCAGAGCACTCCCTCTTCAACTTTGGAGTTTAAGGTGTATAAAAGTGATACCATTAAATAAAACTTAATGCAATCAGCTCATCGTGAGCCTGTTTTTTTCCGCACTAGCCGGAGCAATGTTAGGGGTCAAGGGCCTACCTTCCTGCACAGTCCACTTAACCATTTTTTTTGTGGAACTCTTTCACCCATAACTAACCTAATCATAACTCCAAGCTAACAATGGCAAATAAGAAGCCTAGGAGAGAGGCTGGAGACATCCATAATTCCAAAGGGCTCTGGAGCTCTTTAAGATTAAAATGTGGCCAACATCCCTGGGCCACTCATTCCCCAAAGCAGTGGATTCTCCCCACAGGAGTAGTGGTAAAAAGATGGAAACTGTTCTTGCTCTGGAGGCTCACACCAGAGTCCCATTCTTGCTGTCATATCGAGGTGTGGCCTGGGGGAAGCAAAGGGTAGCATACTCTGTAGCATTTTCTAAATACCAGTGTTTCACTTCACTGGCAGAGCGTGGTTGGGTAAGACTGTTCACTTGAATGTCTGCATAATGTAAGTTGCTCTCCTCCAACTTGAGGTCTTGATTCCTCTTTTGAGATTTAGGCTGCTGTAACACCTGCTCATACATGTGTCCTCTTATTTCATGGTCCTGCAAGGAATTAGCAGAATTAAAGATGATGCTTGGCTTGGTTTTGCCCCTCACCACCAGTGCAGAGCAAACTAGACTGAGGTCCCTTTACTTTGCTCCTTAGGGACAATGGAGGCTAAGCAGAACCAGCAAATTCTACAGATGACTGAGATGTGTTTGTCCCAGGGTAAAAAAGATAAGTACTGGGATCCCATGTCTGAGTAGTCCCAAGAGGCAATGCCTGTCATTACCTTTGTGCAATTCTGCTGCAGCTGTTGTTGCTGCTTCTTCAATGTGAGTCTTGCTTGGTTCCCTGCAGGGAAGAAATCCAACTTAACTCCATTCTCTGATTCTGCTGAGACCGCCCTTTTCGATCTTTAGTTAACTACTGTGGGGGGCTTCTACCCTTCCTGTCTCCATTCCCAATTCTTTCACTTCTGTTGTTCCTACATCTGAACTCCTTCGCAGGGTATACCATCTGGTTTTTTCACAATCTGGTTATAATATCTTCCATCCTCATTTTCCCCAGCCCCTGACATAGTTTCATAAATATATGTTGAGACTCTGTGCCACGTTTTAGGGATAGAAGCATGAGAAGGCGGTTTCTACTGCTTCAGGGTGCTTAGAGACTACTGGGACAGACAAATTAGTAAACAGACTGACTACTATGTGGTAGGTTAGTGCTCAGTCACATCAGTGGGCCACTTTCAATCAAGTCTCTCTCTTTCTCCTTTCTGTATCTTTCACATGAGTGAGTATCTATTACAGCACAAATAGATAATATTATCATTATTTGTTTACATGAGTCTACCTCTCAAACTTGATTTTCAGCTCTTCCAGGGCTGAGACCATGTGCCCTTCTTGTGCTTCTCTGCCTCCACCTCACAGAGTGGCTCACATTCAATATAAATGCTCCGTGATATTTACTAAATGAATGAAAGAATGGGTGCCCCAACCTGCCACTCTGAGATAATATAAAAGAAATAAGATCCACAGACTCAGGGCTACTCTTGAACCCAGCAAATTAAAGATTCTCTTTGGTGTATTATCTTCCCTTTTTTTGCATCCAAGGCCATTTGTCTTTTTTACCCTTATGCCCTTTCCTTTATTATTTTTTTTATTATAATTATTATTTTTTTAGTGTGTGTGTGTGGTGCTGGGGATTGAACCCAGGGCCATGTGCATGTGAGGCAAACATTATACCAACTGAGCTATATCCCCAGCCCCACCCCTTATGCCCTTTCCTAAGATATCATTTGTCTTGTCTCCTCTAATTTGCTCTACCCAGGGCTTTCCCTCAAAGTTACCTTTTTTCTTTTTCTTCTGGAAAGTTGATGGGCAGCTCCTGTGATAGGAAAAACAGATCACCTATATGCAAAAGCTCTGACCTCCCCTCTTTCATTACTTGTTCTGTGGTCTCTGTAACATTCCCTAAAAATTCATCTTGAGCCAGGTTCAGCCTGAAAGCATTTCTCAAGGGTACCTCTCCCAGATGGATGGTTCTGGAAGGTAGAGTGGTACAACTGACATAACCAAACCCAAAATACAGCTTTAAGCAACCAGCACTACATGCCAGGGATGTTGCTGGCTTGAGGGCTATTCTGGGACTGTCTAACAAGCTAATCCCAGCAGAGGGTAAGGGAAACCTGCCAAATAATGGGATATTCCTGGATCCAGAGACCCTCTTGGTTCTTCTTCTGTACTATTTTTTTTTTTCAGGGTCTTTACCAACTTGAGACTTTCATTCTGGGAGTCATAAAAGCTGTCAGAGCTAATTAGTTAGGACCCCTCAAAGTCCTTTTCCAATAAGTGACCTCCCTACTGGCTTCCCTGTCCTTGCTTTTAATTAACAGAAAGCGAGAGATGTTTAACCTTTAATGTCCTTTGGAGTACTTTGTCTTCAGCACAGGGAGCACTGAATTTGGTGAGTGACTCAGCTAGCTTGCCCTCACTGCAGGACAGACCTCTAATATTAATATCTGAGCCCCTAGGGTCCCCAGAGCAGCCAGTGTGTCTATGTAGTTGTCAACGGTTTGATACCCAAAGAAAAAACACTTGTCTGAGGAAATAGGCTGAATAGTTTTGGACTTACTCGGATGCTTTTTCTTGCTAGTACATTTCCAAATCTCACCACAGCCGACCCTATTTGTCTGTCTGATTTCTCCTCTCCCTGGGGAGTTTCCTTCTTTTGCTAATTGAAAAGAAAGAGAGGAGACAGACTTCTAAATTATGTTGACTGTACTACTGTAGAAAAAAATCAGGATTTTTCCTTATACTTTTGATAGAGGTCTGGGTTTTGGTGTGATTTTTGGTTTTGATGCCTACTGAGTTGAGAGCAGTTATACTTCATGCAAATGCTACAAGTAAGTGGTTCAGCAGAAAAAACAACTTCTCTCTTTCAACTTCCTCCTCTACCGTTTCAGTTTTTGTTTTGTGTTACAGCTGCCCACTAATAGTCTTATCCTAGAAGCCAGAGAATCGCCCAATTCCTTGCCCCTTGTCTTACTGCTTTCCTAGTTATTTCTATTTAAATGGATAGAAAAAACATCAATTCCAAAAGACATGACTAGCCAGGTGCAGTAGCATACACCTGCAATTCTAGCTAATTGGGAGGCTGAGGTGACAAGTTTGAAGGCAGTCTGGGAAACTTAGAGAGACCCCAACTCAAAAAAAGGGGGGGGCTAGAAGGAAGCTCAGGGGAGAGTGCCTCTGGGTTTAATCCTCAATACTGCAAAAATAAATAAATAAATAAACAAAATGACTAGGGCTAACCAATTTTAGTAAACAGAGCCTCTTTCCAAATTGGATATTGCACAGTGCTTGGATACAACCCAGAGTGTTAATAGGTGACAATTTATTTTTACATCAGAGTTCAGGAAACTAAATGGGCACTCACAGTTGTAGTAGGCTCAATTCTTCCAAAATGCAATTGGAAATAAGTATGAAAATCCTTAAATATAGCAATTCTATATCCTAATAAATAATACTCCATGTGCAAATATGGCTACTCTTTGTAGCATTGTTTATAATTTCAAAAAATAGAAAACACCATGAAGTTCAATATTTGGTTACTGACGAAATAAATGGTATATCCAGTCAATGGAAAAAAATTGGGGGGCTGGGGATGTGGCTGAAGTGGTAGCACGCTTGCTTAGCATGCATGAGGCACTGGGTTCAATTCTCAGCACCACATAAAAATAAAATAAAGATATTGTGTCCACTTAAAACTAAAAACTAAATATTAAAAAAGTCTACCTTTAAAAAAAGAAAAAAAGTTATTTACATAGTTGTAGATGGACAGCATGACTTTATTTTATTATTTATGTGGTATTAAGGATCGAACCCAGTGCCTCACACATGCTAGGCAAGTGCTCTACCACTGAACTACACCCCAGCCCCAGTCAATGGAAATTCATGTAATCACTTTAAAAAGGATGTCGGGAGAACATTAATAGCATGAAAATTTTACTTTTTATTAAGTTAATAAAAATAAGAAGCTGGGCACAGTGACACATGCCTGTAATTCCAGAACTCCAGCTGTTGAGGCATGATAGTAAATTTGAGGTCAACTTGGGAAACTGAGCAAGACCTGTCTCAAAATAAAAAATAAAAAGGGCTGGGGATGTACCTCAGGGGAGAGTGGGTGCCTTATTGATTTTTATTTATTTTTAAATTGATTTTCATTTTCTTTTTTTAAAATTTTTTTTAGTTGTAGTTGGACACAATATCTTTATTTTATTTATTTTTATGTGGTGCTGAGGATCAAACTCAGTGTCTCGCACGTGCTAGGTGAGCACTCTACCACTGAGCCACAACCCCAGCCCCTCATTTTCTTTTCTTGGTTACTTTCTAAATTTTCTGTAATGAATGTTTATTACTTTTTTTTTTTTGTACTGGAGATTAAACCCAGGGGTACTTAAACACTGAGCCACATTCCCAGCCCTTTTCTATATTTTATTTAGAGACAGGTTCTCACTGAGTTGCTTAAGGCCTCACAAAAATTGCTGAAGCTGGCTTTGAACTTGTGATCCTCCTGCCTCTGCCTCCCTAGTCTCTGGGATTACAGGCACGCATCACCACACTCAGCTTAACCATTACTTTTATAATCTGAAAAAAAAACAACAACAAAGAATATTTTAAAATAAAAATCTTTGGGCTGGGGATATAGTTCAGTTGGTAGAGTGCTTGCCTAGCATGTGCAGGGCCCTGGTTTAATCCCCAGCACCACTGTAAGTAAGTAAATAAATAAATAAGTAAAATAAAAATCTTCACTTGTCATAGTATCATTAAGTCTTTGAAGGTTTATTGAGATAACTAGAAACAGAACCATTTTTATCTGATCCTATTAATATTTTAATAGGAACAAAAATAGATTTGGTTAGAATGTCTGTCAAAGTGTCTCTAGAATGAGTTTTAGAGTCAAACTGACTGGTCAGGTTAGCTGTAAGACTTCAGAAGGTTTTGAACTTCTCTAGTCTTCTATTTGAGCATTAATGAGGATGATATTAGAATCTAAACATCATGGGGCTGGGCACAGTGGTGCACATCTGTAATCCCAGTAACTCAAGAGGCCTAGGCAAGAGAAGATCCCAAGTTAAAGGCCAGCATGAGCAATTTTGTGAGACCCTATCTCAAAATAAAAAATAAAAAGGGCTGGGGTTGTAACTCAGTAGTAGACCCCCCTTGAGTTCAATAAAGAATATGGAGGAGGGGCTGGGGATGTGGCTCAAGCGATGGGTCGGGCGGTAGCCTGGTATGCGTGGAGATCCTCAGCACCACATAAAAATAAAATAAAGATGTTGTATCCGAAAACTAAAAAAAAAAAAATATTAAAAAAAAGAATATGGAGGAGAAGAAGAGAGGGAGGAGAAAGCAGAGGGCAGGGGGAGGAAAGAAAGAATCTAAACATGGGACTATTGTAAGGATTAAATAAAATAGTGAATGTAAGATACTACACACATTCCTGTCTATAATGAGCATCAATAACGAAGCTAAGATGACTATCAATAATTACCACCATCAGAAATGAACAAACCAGAAATAAAGAACATAAACACTTGGGAAGATGGGGAGTGAATGAGATGTTATATCCCCTTCTCTAGAAGCTGTTCTATCTACCAGATGTCCTGTTTTATAGACATCTTACTATTTTAAAGAGTGTTTTTTTGGGGCTGGGATTGTGGCTCAGCGGTAGAGCACTTTTCTGTCATGGGCAGGACCCAGGTTCGATCATCAGCACCACATGAAAATAAAGGCATTGTGTTGTGTCCATCTACACCTAAAAAATAAATATTTAAAAAAAAATAAAGAGTGTTTTTTATTAAATTAATTAATTTATTTTAAAAATTTATTCTAATTTGCTATATATGTTAAAGAGTGTTTTGTTTGTTTGTTTGTTTGTTTGTTTTCAGTGATAACAACATTCTGGAAGACACATACTTTTGTTCCCATTTTATAGATGGGTCAACTAAGGCCTTATAACTTTGGTAACTTATTCAAAAGGCAAGGATCAAATTTATTTTCTTTCTTTTTTTTTTTTTAAGTGTCTTCTGCATCTATCACTGTGCCCAGTATATATAGAATGTTCAATAAATATTTGTTTAATAAAGGAAAATAAATAATTAGTAGGGATAGGACTTGAATCCAATGTACTGACCCTAAGTCCTATTTGCTTTCCAATGTACCTTGCTTGTCTCTTTAAATATAGGGATTTTTTTTTTAATCAACAAGACATCCTTAATATTAGTGCTGACTACAGAATGACAGTGGTCAGTATTAGGTCTTAGAGTTTATGGTGAAAATTCTGCAAAAGAACAGCTACAATACCACAAATAACTTAGTGTGAGGTTTTCACATATACTATATCCTTTGCTCTTCAAAACAAAACAGTGATCTAAAAAAAAGAGTTATGTTAATATATTTTGCACAGAGAAATTAAAGGATTTGCCTAAGTTCACATAGCAAATAAGTATGAAAGTTATATTCATATTCAATATTCCATATTCAATATTCCATGGATATTCTCCTTTCCACTTCCACCCTTTTAAACAGACATTTTTCTAAAGTTGATCTGCTTGATCTGTGATTATGGTGGTGGAAGAATGGGTTGTGAAGTCAGGCAGGCTTGGGTTGGAACCTTGCTTTACCTGCTTCTGGCCATGTCACAGGGCCAGAAAGTTAACTTCTCACCTCTCTGAGCCTCAGCTTTTGGCTGGCTATAAAGTGGGAGGAGGGGTAAGACCACTTACTCATAGAAGTGTTGGGAAAATTAGATGAAACTGTAGAGTGCCTGGCATAGAAAGCTCTTGAATGCTACAACTATTGTTATTACCTGGGGAAGGAGGGATGGGAGGAGAGAAGGGGAAAGGAAGAAAGAAAACAAAGAAAAACAATGCCAATTCACCATGTCCAGCCCTGCTAAGGACACTGGAGTGGGGTATTGCTGTCTTTTCTAAGGTCTCCTGAAAGGAGTAAGTGGGAAGGAGATGCTGCTCTGGTGTGGGGACCAGGAGGTACCAGGCTGAGGAAGGTGGCAGTGGGAGGCACTATCTCCAGGCTCTCTGATTCCCCACATATACCAATAGAGATGATAGATACCCTCTGCCCTTCCACCCTACTCACCAGCTTCCCCTGCAGCAGAGCTGGTTTCCCATGGCGTATGGTCTCCCGGGGAGCACAGCTGTTTTCCAACATAAAGAGGCTTGTGCATTTCCTGGTTCCTGGTTTAGCTTTCCGTGGCAGCTCCTAGGGAGTCTCTGTCAGTGTCAGATTTCAACCTAGCAGGTTGGACTTTGGAAGTCACCTGCTGGAATGATTCCCAGGTGACTGTTCCCAGCCAAGAGTAGAACAACATACAGGGCTCCAGGTGACAGCTATCTCACCTTCGGGATTTGAGGTTTCTTTTAATGAAACCATGAACTTTGAACTTCCAGCTTCAAATAAAAAAGAAACCTGAGATAGAAAAGGACTCTGCATTTCCTTAGGAAAGTTTTTCCACTAGATCACGCTGCCTTTGAAATATAGCCTCCATAGTAGAGTCTCCCCTATGTTCACCAAGCACCTCTCAAATTTGAGTTTCATTCCCAAGGTAATTGGTTCCAATTGTTTATGATTTCTGTCCAGAATCTGGGTTTGAATACTAGAGTGTCTTGGAAACTGAATTTTAGGAAAATGGATTTTTTTTATATTCTCTCTTGCTATTGGAATTAATGTGGGCAAATCACTTAAGCTTTTAGAGACTAGGTTTTCAGGATTGTAAAGCAGAGGTAATAAATTTATCATCTAATCCGCTTTCTGGTATAGAATCAGATGATTCTATGATTGGAATGGTCTCAGCATTTCTTGACCACTAACTTCCCCATCCCTAGTTTCAGGACTACAAAATCGTCACACAGCTGTGGCTTCTGTCTCTAAGTTAGACTCATTCCCCACTTTCCAGCAACTAGGATGCAGCTAAGCAAATTCCTCTGTTGAAATTATGAGCTCTACAAAAATATATAAAGCCCACAAATCTTGTTTTCAGTATTCTCACCTCATCTTTAGTGTCGTCCTCAGCTCTGGACTCCACAGAGCACCCTGGACTCTGAACTTCTCCCCATCTTCTTAGAAAAATGTGGATAAGAATAACAAACTCATAGGATTGTGGTGAAGATTAAATGAGATATATGTATGTAAAACACTAGCTCAAGGCCTGACACATGAGAAGCTCTCAGTAAGTTTTAGCTGTTGTTATTATTATTGCTTCTTGTTCTCTGGTAATTATCTTATATTATTACCTGTGCCCCAATCTTTGCACATGCTCCTGCCCTGCAGACCATTTTGTAGTCTACCATTAACTGTGTTCTTTTCATCCTGTTACCTGCTCATCTCCCCCCAGTCAAAAGCTATCAATAGGCTGGGATTGTAGCTCAGTGGCAGAGTGCTTGCTTAGCATGTGTGAGACTCTGGGTTCAATCCTCAATATCTCATAAAAGTAAATAAAATAAAGGCATTCTGTTTATCAACAACTAAAAAACAATGACAACAACAAACAAACAAACACTATCAGTAATTTCCTGTTACCTACGTGATAGAATTCCAACATCTTTTTTTTTTTTCAGATTCTGGGGATTGAACCCATGGGTGCTCTACAACTGTGATACACCCCCAGCTCTTTTAATTTATTTTGAGACAGGGTCTTGCTGAGTTGTCCAGACTGGTCTTGAATTTATGATCCTCCTGCCTTAGCCTTCCAAGTATCTGGTATTGCAGGAGGATGCCAGGGCAACCGTTTTAGAATTCCAGTTATGGAAGCTTTACATAATTTGGTCCCTTTCCAACAACCTCTTCTGTAATTTACAGGAAATCACCTAAAGGATTTTTAGATATCCAGAAACTCCATACAGTGCATTTGTGGCAGAAAATCTGATGTGTTTTAAGCAATATTAATAGGAATGTAGAGTGATAAATAAGGTTATTGATTATTCTACTGAAATCTCTAGTATACTAGTCAATCCATGCTTGGAATAATAATTTTAGGTCTGTATATTGAATTTCAAGTTACACTGTCAAATGGCAGTGTGTTCAAAAGAAATCTGTGTAGTATGTGGTATGGAAAGTGCTATAACGCATAGCTGAAAGAACTAGGCACAATTTCCCAGAAAAGGGATGCATAAAAAAAGCAATATGATTTACATTTAAATATTTGAAGGACCTTCAAGTGAAAGATAATTGCATTTGTTTTCTGGACATAAACAGACCAATGGACAGAAGTTACTCAAATGCAGATTTTGGAACTGAAGGAAGAATTTATAAGTTATGTCCGAAAAGAAAATGGAGTGGGCTACTTGATGAAGTTCTAAGTTCTCTGTCATTCAAATTGCCCCAGAAGCTGGACATGGTGGTGTACATCTATAATCCCAGCAACTCCAGGAGGATGGCGAGTTTGAGACTAGCCCAGACAACTTAGGGAGACTGTCACAAAATAAAATAAAAATATAAATATTTAAAGAATATATAAAGGACTAATGATGTAACTTAGTGGTAGGGTGCTTACCCAATATATGTTTACCTTGCATATTGGGTAAGGGCCTCATGTCTGTCCTGAGGTCAGTAGGAAGGAGAGAGAGCCCTGGTTGAGGTGGGTGAGTGGGGAGTCTGAGTGGGAGATGGATTTCAATTAAGCCTGAAGTGGGTTCAATCTTCAATAATGAAAAAAGAAAAAGGGGAAAAAAATCCCAGAAGTTGATTAATAACTTTAAATTTTTTCTTTTAAGAAATCCTTTTCTTTAGGCAGAGCTCAAAAGCTGAGAATGTAGCTTGGTGGTAGAGTTCATGCTTTTTTAAAAATATTTTTTTGGTGCATTATAATTATATGTAATAGTGGAGTTCATATGCATTCATACTTAATGGGCTTAAGGCCCTGGGTTCAATCCTCAGTCCCCAAATAAATAAATAACAGAATAATATGAAGGTATTCTGGTTGAAGTCTGAGTAGAATTCTTTTTTTTTTAAATTTTTTTTTTAGTTGTAGTTGGACACAATACCTTTTATTATTTTTAGTTGTAGTTGGACACAATACCTTAGCACCACGTGGTGCTAAGGATCGAACCCAGGGCCTCACGCTTGCTAGGCGAGTTCTCTACCGCTGAGTCACAACCCCAGCCCTAGAATTCTTTTTTTATTCTTCTCAACTACATGGTAAGATTTCTGAGTATATAAGAAAGATTTTCATTTTTATAATTCATATTTATAATGTATATCCCCCATAGTGCATTACTTGGAGTTTGATAAATATTTGTTGAGTGAACGAATGGATCGATAGATGAATGAACAGTTGAACATAATATTATTTCTTCTAAGTGCATTTTGATCTTTAATGGAAGACAGTCCTTTAATCAATAATTGAATTCTTTAAGTGAGGATTCTTATCCTGGGGATCCACAATCCTTAAAAGGGGTATGAATGGATCCCCAAAATTGTGTGAAATTATTCAAACAGTATTGTCAAATTTGGGAGCATGTGCTTTTTTTCTGGAAGAGTATCTACGGTTTCATCAGATTTTCAAATCAGTCTGTTACCCCCAAAAGTCAAGAAAAATCACTTAAATGGAAGAATCTCAGGTGTCTACCACCATCTGGAAAAAATGCACTCTGGGGCAAGGAAATCTTCTAATGTTCCCCAAATCATAGACATGCACAACCTCTTGATTAAAGAGTAGGTATGGGGATAGACCCCCAGGCTTTCCTGAACACACCATCCCCATAGCCTTAAGACCTTACTTAAAAGGGACGCTTCCCTGCTAACCACCAACACAGTAAGAGACCTAGATCCCTGCATTTAGTCTTGGATTAGGTGAAGTGATGCAGTAATTCCTCTTTTTGAGACAATGCTTCTTCACATGGGCCTCCCTTGTACAGAGGATGAGGAGGCTGTGGGGTTCAGTGACAACGGTGGAGGCTTTTGTGCCCATGTATGCATACTCAGACCATCAGAATCAGAAACCATTTAGAGGACAGACCTTAGTATGGAAAAACAAAGCATTCACTCCAGGGCTTTAGGCAACTCTCCCCAGCCAAAAATCATTTTCCCAACCCCTACCCAAAAAGGGCCAGACAGTCTGGAGACCCTTGTTTTTGTGTCTCTAATCACCAGCTCAGACAGTGCCCTCTGGGCTGTTTGGATGGCATATCCCTTTTCCCTCCCAGGATCACTCTCTCTTTTGTTGCATTGTGAGAAAATTATGATTAGGAATTTGATCTGGAGCCAGTGTTAGCTTCCGGCAGTGATCTCAGCATCTAAGTGTGAGCTCAGGGTACTGTGACGTTGAGCACATATAACAGGACCTTTTTGTCTAGCTGGCTATGATCTCCTCCTTCCCACCCATCCCATTTTCCAGGCCACAGAATACTGAGCAGCACAAACAAGGCCCCAAGATTTGGGTTTATTCAGTTCCACCCAGAACTAAACCAAATGCTATAACACGTCCCCAAAAGACAAAACCATACACTGTGGACCATGCACCTTTCCCTTCCCCCAAGGATGCTGCTACCTCTGGGGTGGTGGGCAGCTGCTCAAATCACTTCGGGAGGTAGAAGGGACTTGCTGGGTGCTGGGTCTATGGCAGTCAGGACTCAACTCTGGCTGCTTCCTCCTCTTCCTCTGGATCAGGAGGTGCAGAGAGCAGGGAGATGTAGACCTCATTGACCTCTGTGTCCAAATGACGGCCACCTCGTGGTGCCTCCAGGTTAAGGATGCCATCATGGGAGAGAGCTGCTTTGACTCGCCAGGGGTCAACATCAGCAGGTAGAACATAGGTGCGGCAGAACTCTCGAGACACGAAGCCGTGGCGGTCCAGGCGCTGGGGGTGCTTGGCAGACACCTCCAGTAGGTTGTCCACAGTCCTCACGGTCACCTCATCTGGGGTAAAGTGGCTCACATCCAGAAATGCCTGGAACTTGCCCTCACTGAGCCTGAGCTCAGAGGCCCCTGCCCTGCTGCCCTCCCCAGCTTGGGTGGCCCGAGGCCGGACATAGTAGCCATGGTAGAGGGTGGGGGTCAGGATCTCTTCTGGAAGTAGGCCTGAGGGTAGAGAGAGAAGGCAAGAGGCAGGATGAGGGAGGATAAGGTGGGCACAAGGGTGAAATGAGAGATCATGAGATGCAGGAATGGGAAGAGCCGGAGGGGGAGTCAAAAGTAGGAAAGGGGAACCAGGCAGGCAGCTGGGAAGATGTTGAAAGGAAATGAAACTGCAGTGGAGCAGGGAAGCCAAGCCAGGATTTGGTGGGTAGAAGGGACTCAGGGAAGCGCACAAAGAAAGGAAAGATGCAGGTATCAAAGCACTGCAGGGCCCCATGTCTGTCCTGAGGTCAGTAGGGAGGGAAGAGAGTCCTGGTTGAGGGGGGTGAGCGGGGAGTCTGAGTGGGAGATGGCTTGCCCCAGGAGTTCAGTTAAGCCTGAGTGGGGTGGAAGCCAGTAACTTTGGGAGGTCAGCCCAGAATATCGGGAAGTGGGGGTGGGAGGCACTGGGGTGGCGACCGGCCCATACCTTCGCCAAAGCGCTGCTCACCCAGGCGGCTGGGGTTGGCAAATTCGTACTCGGCGGTGGCCGGGTGGGCATGTGGCACTGAGCGGCCCGACATGGCGGCAGTCGCTGCAGCAGTCCTGCTCTGTGGTGCGGCCCCAACAGGCGCAACGCGACCCCTCCAGCTGCCCGGAGAGCTAGAGCTCAGTCGGAGGCGGAGGCGGGGTCTACACCACCCAAAATAGTGCGGAGCCTCTGCGGGGAGGGCAGGGAGCAGGGGCCCCGAGTGCAGTGATGAGGGTGTGACCAACGCCGCCTGACCCAGACCCCCAGTCCCCTCCTCTGCACACGCTTCAGCTGTCGCAGGGGGCCTGAGAGGACAGCTGGGAGTCCTGACCCTGGAGTGAGCTGGGGAGGGGAGCTGGTGCTAGCTGAGACCCTCACCTAGCTGAGGGGCCTAGCTGAGACCCTCACCAACAGTTTGCACATTTCCACATCACCTTTTCTCCTCAGGCTTAAGCAACATGCATGAAGCTTAATAAACACTCTGGATTTAATGTTATGCCAGCCCCACAGCATAAAAGTTATGAGAAACTTTACTGCCCTTTTTTGGGAGCACTGCCCAGATTGTAAGGGTCTTCTCCTGAAACCAGGTCAACCCAGGGCACCCAGTATATGCTTGCTACTGACATATTGGCATTCACTGCTCTCCCCCAGGGACCCACAAAGAGTTAATGTCCCTGGGGCCCAGCCTAGGAAGATTCCAGTCCCTGCCCAGGCCCAAGATAGTTGCTGGCTCAATTCCCCTGGCATGCAGTACTGGAAGGGAGGAGGAGGGGCCGGCCAGCGCCTGCTTGGGATTCCTGACTCTGTCCAGATCTAGAGTACAGAGGATAGGGGTGGGTGCCACTGGGTGTGGACAGAAATCCAGTGAAACAAGACCATGACAAGTCACTGGCCAGCTCAGACGTGTTTGTGTTTCTCTTTTCTTAGCTCAGTGAGTACCGGGTATGTGTCACACTGCCAAATCCCCGATCACAAGTCTCCATGAACTGGCGGTGAGCTGGGATAATAAAACCCCTGACATCACCATTCCAGAAGCTTCACAAGACTGCATATATAAGGGGCTGGCTGTAGCTGCAGCTGAAGGAGCTGACTAGCCAGCTGACCCCTGCATTCACTTAGCAGCCATGGACATCGCCATTCACCACCCCTGGATCCGGCGCCCCTTCTTTCCTTTCCACTCTCCCAGCCGCCTCTTTGACCAGTTCTTCGGAGAGCACCTGTTGGAGTCTGACCTCTTCTCAACATCCACTTCCCTGAGCCCCTTCTACCTTCGGCCACCCTCCTTCTTGCGGGCACCCAGCTGGATTGACACTGGACTCTCAGAGGTGAGTCTCCCCTTTGCCAGGACAGGAGCCCTTCCTGGAATCTCCTGGATATTCTCTATTTTCCTTTTTTTCCCCCTGCCTACGCCATTTAGGCACATGTGTCCAGAATTGAAAAAAAGTGGGGTTAGTAATGCTTCCTTCCCCCAGGCACCTGTTTCTATTTGATGCTCCTCTGTATCCTATTTATTACATTTTAAAAAAAAAATACACAGTGAAGATCATCCTCTGTTCCCTTTTAAGCAGGATAACCTTTTTGGTTTGATTTATAATGATCTACAAGGAAAAAGCTGTCTTCAAACTCCTTTGCTCATCTCTGCTAATATCTCATACTCCTAGCAGATTTTATTATGAAGTTCTAGAGCCCAGGGAGACCTATCTCATCCTGAACTCTCCATCCCCACTGAGTGGAGCTGGAGATAACAGTTAATTGTTTTCTTTCATTCTGTTCTCTCTTTATGATTTTCCAGGTGCCTTAGGGCTGTGGCAGGGCAGTGGCCTGGAGCCAACCCTTACATGGAAATAACCAGGGTCCAGTCTTAGGACCCCCTTTTATCCTAAGAGGGTGGGAAAATGTGGTAAACAGAGGCTATCATAGATAAGCTCTGGTTTAAAAATATTTAAGTGTGAGTAAACAGCAGCTGAGTGGGCAAGGGCTTTGAAAGGACAGGCAGGATCCACAGAACATTCCAGATTGAGTGGGTGGGAAATTTGGCAGAGAACTGAGCAAAAAGAAGGGGCCTTTGTCTCATAGACAAATGACAAAGCCAGGCACTGGGTCAGCAAGGCAGCAGAAGCCAGGCCCACATCCATCCTTGTGACTGGTCTCCTGGGTGGTTAGTATTCTTTCTTGTGTACCTAAATAAAGTTTGGGCCTGTGGCCAAGAAGTAGGCCTTGGGTACCACTGTGGTGGCTACCCTGAGCCAGAGAGCCATGTTTATTCAAAAGTTATTTTTAATACACAAGAGGAAGATGAAATACCTAGATAGAAAGCAAGTCTGCAGAATGATGAGACTGCACCAGTGTAATCAACATTCTTGCCATCTTTTCTCTTCCCTACTCACTTCCCTTGCTGTTTCTAGATGCGTATGGAGAAGGACAGGTTCTCTGTCAACCTGGATGTGAAGCACTTCTCCCCAGAGGAACTCAAGGTCAAGGTGCTGGGAGATGTGATTGAGGTGCATGGCAAGCATGAAGAGCGCCAGGTATGGAGTTTTTTTTCCTTATGCTCATTCACTGTATCCTGTACACCAGGTACTGCCATCAGCCTCTGAGACTAGAAAACTAAATTAGGGATAAACTTGTTTTGTTTGCCCAGAGAAATGGCCTTTATTGTTCTGATTGCTTTGGATAGGATGTTCACTTTCCATTTAAGCCAGGGGTTTTCAACCTTGGCTGCATTAGGATCATGAGAATTTTTTTAAATTCCAAGGTTCAGGCATACCCCAGACTAATTAAATCAGAATTTTTAGGGGGTGTAATTCAGGAATCAGCATTTCTTAAAGTTCCCTGGGTAATTTTAATCTATAGCCAAGACTGAGAACCATTGCCTTAGGCATAGTGTTGTCTTGACACTTGGCTGCTTTACATAATTACATAAACTACATTCACCCTGAAGGCACTGGAGTTTGTGACTTTTATTTTTTTTATTATTTATTTATTTATTTTTAATTTTAATATTTATTTTTTAGTTATTGGCAGACACAACATCTTTGTTTGTATGTGGTGCTGAGAATTGAACCCGGGCCGCACGCATGCCAGGCAAGCGCGCTACCGCTTGAGCCACATCCCCAGCCCCATGACTTTTCTTTTAGATGTTCAGGAATTCATTTCTCTTAAGCCCATCTGAATGTTAAACTACTTGGTTTGCCTACTTTTCAAAGCTTATCAGCACCTAATCCCTTGTAGGTGGATGAGGAAAACAGTTAATTGAAAGTTTATTTAGATAGATGCGATTCAGCAGGCATAAAGTTTACAGCCAACTGTTTTTCTATTTTATCACTGGAGATTGAACCCAGGGGGTAATCTACCACTGAGGTAGTCTCCAGGTCTTTTTTTTTTTTTTTTGAGACAATGTCTTGCTAAATTGTCCAGGCTGGCTGGCCTTGAATTTGTAATCCTCCTGCCTCAGTCTCCCTACTAGCTGGGATTGTAGGCATGTGCCACCATGCCTGTTTAAGGTCAATAACTATTGCAGGGGGATTCTGAAACATGCAATGGTTTTCCATGACTTTCTGAAAATTTAAAAATTGATCCTGAGCAATTAATGATAACTCAGAACCTTTTCAAAATTTGTATAATTTAATGTCTTCAGGCTGTTTCAGTTTTGCTCATGTGATTTCAGACCGGGTCAGTCTCCATGGAGTTGTTTTTTGTTGTTGTTTTTAAGCAGCAGTCCTGTGTATCTGGAACATTCCTGAAGAGTCTGGACAACTTCTGGGTTTCCTCAGGGACTCAGATTCTCAATGTCAGAATGAGATTCCAAATCTTGTAGGTCTAGCCAACATTGATCTAAACCTTTGTAAAATACCCCTAAACATAACAGTGCTTCAGTGTTATAAAGAACTAGTTTGAGGCTGTTGCAGGTTTCTCAACAAGCTCTGGTTTAAAAATATTTAAGTGTGAGTAAATACTTGTAGGAGTGACCCTCTAGGCAACCTTATCCTAGCCACAAACCTGAAAAGTTGTTATTATTCTCTCATGTTGTTATGGCTTTTGGTCTCCCCTAAGGGGAAAGAGATATCTGAGTTTTGGGCAAGTGATATTATTTCTTTTCTTTTTACGTCTTTGCTTCTTTATTTCTTCTCATGGATTAGGATGAACACGGTTTCATCTCCAGGGAGTTCCACAGGAAATACCGAATCCCAGCTGATGTGGATCCTCTCACTATTACTTCATCCCTGTCATCTGATGGAGTCCTCACTGTGAATGGACCAAGGAAACAGGCCTCTGGCCCTGAGCGTACCATTCCCATCACTCGTGAAGAGAAGCCTGCTGTCACTGCAGCTCCCAAGAAGTAGATGCTCTTCCTAATCGCATTTTTTAAAATAAGAAAGTTTCCCTACCAGTGAATGAAAATCTTGTGACTACTGCTGAAGCTTATTAATGCTAAGGGCAGGCCCAAATTTTTAAGCTAATAAAATATCATTCAGCAACAGATAGCAGTTTTGTTTTGAATATTTTATATGGTTTTAAATAAACACACAAATATAGCAGATTCATTTTAATCATCATATGATTTGGGGGGTTCCAAGTATTTAAGAGTCAGAATGACTGGTTTCCACCACTTAACTAATGACAAAATTTAGGCAAGTCACTTTATTTTCTCAGTCTTCAGGCCTTCCACTTATAAGATGGGTACTGATTTGTATAGTAAAGAGTAAATTAAGGAGAAAAATTATGTGAAGGGCTCAGTGGTAGAGCACTTGTCTAGCATGTGCGAGACCCTGGGTTCGATCCTCATCACTACGTAAAAATAAAATAAAATAAAAGGTATTGTATCCAACTACACCTAAAATAAATAAATAAATAAATAAATAATGTGAAGCCCCTGAGAAAATTGGAGGAATATCAGCTCTTCTCTCTTTCCTCTTTGAGATTGTAGCTCTGAATTTCAATGAATGAACTCTTGCTAACAAAACACAAAAGACCTAGTGCATTTCTGAAATTAATTATATCAATTAGGTGACCCTAATGTTATTTGATATTTTTCTACTGGTAAGCGGTGTCTTTAGCTGATTCAACACCCAACAAGCCATCAAGTATAGTCTAAATTATCAAGCAAACGCCTAAAGTAAGGCTGCAAAATATTCAGTGATTTACCACAAAAGGTTAAATTTTAGAATTACAATTAATTACTGATATATATGTATTTCTATTGTTTAGCTTAAACAAAGAAATTCTACTCTATCAAAAAACAGAAATAAAACACTTCTCCTGCCCCCAAATACACCCACAAACCTCTTCATTTCACTTTTGTGAATCTAAACAAGACTTCTGATTCACTTCTGATTTTGAAAAATAGCACTGCTATAGGTTATCTGGAATAAATGTTTAGTAAGACCACTCTTATTTTTTACCAACTTCAGCTGATTTCCATTTTTTTAACACACACACACACACACACACATATACATATATATATTTATATTTATTTATTTTAGTTTTATGGACATAATACCTTTATTTTATTTTTATGTGGGAGTGAGGATTAAATCCATTACCTCGTGCATGCCAGCGCTCTACCACTGAGCCCCAGCCCCAGCTCCTATGTTTAACTTTTTGAGGAACCGCCAACTGTTTTCACAATAGCTGCATCATTTTATATTTCCATTAACAGTGTATGAGGATTCCAATTCCTCCATTTCCACATAAATATTTTTTATTTTCTGTCTTTTTGATTATAGACATCTTTTATGTATCTGACAAATTCTTTTTTTTTTTTTTTTTTTTTGTGTGTGTGTGTGTGTGTGTGCTGGGATTGAATCCAGGGCCCTATGTATGCTAAGCATGCATTCTAACACTGAGTTAGAATGTAACACCTCCATCCCCTTTGACTGAATTATTAACATTATATAGAACTTAGCAATATGCAGAGGGGAGATATATATAGGAAGAAAGAACAGCATGAAGTGCTCAGGCATTTAGGTTTGGCTGGATCACCGGATATATGAGGTGGTATATGGGAAATTTGGCAAGAAAGAAAGAGGTTCTGCTAATTAGTTTGGTATTTATTTTGAAGGCTAAAAAAGCCAATGAAGGAGCTTAGTAAAGTGAATGCCATAATCAACTTAAAATTTTAAAACTTCTACTCTAGGGGCAATATAGTGATGGATCAGTAGGGACCAAAATGGAAAATAGAGACATTGA